TTCATTGAACAACTTAAAACTCACAACTTTTGCTTTGTTTCTGAAGTTTTGTTTGTACTTTAAACTCTTCTTGATTTCTGCATTTTGATATATAATATAGATTCAACTAGTATTGGAACTTAGTGGCTAGGAGTTGTCAAATTATAATGACCTCTACTTTCTATAACAAATATTTTGTTTGATAGTTTCACGTGAAGTTGTTTCTTTGAATATAGGTTCACGTGTCACCATGCATGACAACCTACAAATCCCCAATTCAATTGGGAGTATAGTGTACGTAGTATACGAGTTGTATATAGTGTATCTTCTATATATCACCAACAACCAAGCGGTGGAGTGATAAGCCACTCATTTTTTTCGTCAACTAAATTCGTCAAATTTAAGTCCGGGCGGATATAGAGTCCCTTTCGTTAGGGAATACGAGTTCTGAGTATAGAATTTTAAGTCTGGATGTAGAGTTTCTCCTATTAAAGAGTACGAGTTCTGAATATAGAATTTGAAATCTGGATATAGAGTCTTTTTTGTTAAAGAGTACAATCAATCCCTAATGCGAATATAATATTATATATCGAGTAGAAAAGAAACACGATTGTGGTTTTTATTTTACTTTTGCCAAAGATGATGTTAGTCTCCTTTCAACTTGCAAGCTCTTTTGTGGCAATTGTTTGTCTCAAGTATAACCCGTGATTCTTCCAATGGTGTACAAAGTCAATTGCATCAATAATAATATAATGATGTAATTTTTTATTAGTCTCGAGCATAAATGAAATCGAAAAATATTAAAGTATTAAAAAGTAAACTCATTTTTGGTTAGAAACATATATAGTTTTTCATATCATAACATAATTTATTATTTCATAACGATTGATTTGACGATGGATATTAAACATTAGTTACATTACTCCTTTTTGACTTGTTATATTTGGCTGTGCAATCATCATAGCAGCCTCCCATTTTCTTTTCATCTGCAACAAAAACAATAAAAAAGAATAAATAATTATAATTTTGGATCCATAGTTTTAATTTAAATAATTTTTTAAAAAAACAATGGGCTTAGTAACAAAAAAGCCTTGAAGTTTGGTACTATTGGAAATAGTTATTGGACCGGATCCATTCATAAAAATTGATATTAATTAGCCCGTTAGCCCATCTTACAATTAATCGTTTTGTATTTTTTACGATGGATATCTAGGTTGTGGATAAATGACCATACATTCACTTTATCGGAATTTCTGATGACTAGTTACACAAGTCATTGAAATTTTTAATAAATTGAAAATCTTTGATAATTCATCCTTGAAATTTATGACAGATCAGATCTAATATGAATTTTTTTTATTAAAAAATTATACGGTATATATAAGATGAAAATTATACCTGAGAATGTGTTGGAGCATTGCTCATAACAACTAGTGTTATTGATCATAGCTTCATAAACACTATGAATTGTGCATCTTTTCATGCATACATCAATGCAAAAATCAAGTTGAGTAGAACTTATACATGTAAGTCTACATAAGCCTTTGCAAGTTATTTTACTTATACTAATATTTGCACCAATAGCATTTGCTAAGATGATAAAAATTATTGTAAATCCAAACACAATTTTGAGATTTTTCATGGTTGTATTTTTTTTAATCTTTTTTGTTTTGATTAATTTATATAAAAGTTCAAAATGATGATGCTATTTATAAGTCAAGTATATTCATTGTGCATTTAATAAAAGTTGATATTATTGTGTATATTTACACATATGAGCAAATTTTGCTTAGCTGTTAATTTGTACTTATTTTCTTGTTTTCCCGCTTGGTCAAAGTCAAAAAAATGAATTAAACTTATTTGTCTCTATATATTTCACTAATTATGGTGTTTTGATAATTAGTTTTACATAATATTTTATATATACAATAAAATTTTGGATATTATATATAAATAAATCACCGAATTCTTATATCGCTGCTAAAATTTAAGCTTGTGCTATAATAGTAAAAATAATTATACTATTTCAAACTAAGCTTTAAAAAACTTAAATTAACTCAGTCAAAACATGCTTAGAAAATAATAAAAATCAAACTGTTTTCTATGGATTAATTAATGTGTGTGTATATATATCACATATGGTTACACAAAAAGTCAAGATGATTAATGGTAGCTCTTAATTTAACCCCATTCTTTAAGGAATTAAAGGCTTTTTATTTTGTTCAAACAATACAAATAATAATTACTCCGTCTTTTCTTTTTAGTTATCATAATTTCCGTTTTCATAGTTAAACGGTATGAACTTTGACTAACATTTTATAATATATATTTTTTCATCATATTGATATATAAAAGTAAAACTTTTAGTATAATTTTTAAATAGTTAAACTTTAAATTTAAACTATTAAATTAATAAAATTTAATTTAATTATAATTTAATATAAAATCGCACTTATTTTGCGATGTAAAATTGACAAGTGTAAGTTAATAGAGTAGTTTAATTATAAGAATTCACATTTATCTTCTTTTTTTTCAAATTAAAAGTTAAAAAAGGTGAAAGAAAATGTGCATGCTTTGCTGTCTTAAACTTTGAGAAACACACAGATACACATCAAACTTTAACTTTCAATCACTATATGAGTTTTACTCACAACAAGACATATATGTACATAGGTGGAAGAAAAAACTCCTATTTGAAATTAATTTGTTGGTAAAGATAATTTATGTATACTAAAATACATTATCAAATGATATAGGTATGGTGCATTGGTGGGAGTGCTTCACCCTTAATCAGAGGTTTCGAATTCGAGCCCTGGGCATGAAGAAAATTCTGTTGGGAGTGTCACCCCCGAATGAACGTGCGCGATCTAAATTTAGTCAAAGCTCCAATATGGGCTCCGGACACCAGGTGGAAAACAAAAAAAAGTGTGATAGTCATGTGAGTGATTTCATGCTGATAAAATGCATGTCTACACAATTCAACAAGTTATTGGATGTTCAATTTGTGTGTTTTAAATTGTTCGAATAAAATCTCATATTAATAGTAAATATATAAGAATAAGAAGCAATAGCTAGTATAATAAACTTAATTATGCTCTATTATAGTTATCGTTTGCATATTTATGGGGTGTAGCTATAGTTTAAGCTGCCTCATTTGTATAATTTAGGGTTCATTTGTATGAATCAGTTATTTTTGTATAAACTCGAAATAACGAATTTATATAATTACAAACATCAAAGTGTAAAGAGTTATATAAAATTTATTGTACAAATTTCGAATTATACAAAAGTTATACACATTATATTATACTAATTTCGAATTAACTAAACTAAAAAATTAATTACAATAGAGATAGCACGTGAATTGTAATAAAAAAAATTAACTAGTATATATTTATTTATGACTAATATATATTGAATCTTGGTAATGAACTAGATAAATATTTCATTTATTAATCAACTTATCTCAATTAAAAATTAATTTGAGACGTTCAAGTTGCTTTCAATTTTTGATGATGATTGATGTTTCCCCATACAAGGACTCCTAGACTATTCCAAAAAATTTGAAAATAAAATAAAATAATTTTTTTTTATCATCATAACTCAATTTCATGCTTTCCTTTTCGAACTTTATTTTTTAATTACGTGTATATATTAATATATGCACACGTAAAATGTAAGTTTCTACTTTTGTGCACAATTCATCATCATCAACTCACTTTCATTAATTCCACTAATTAAGCTAATCAATGTACCATAGCTTATATCCTGAATAAAATTCACTCTTTTAAAAGTCTTTAAAAAGAGAAATAAACGAAAAAAATAACAACATAACGATGTTTAATTAATTTGTAAGTTGAAGTTACTTCAAATTAAAGTTAAAAAATATATCCACTTTTTGCAAAATATAAAGATTACTGGCCGCTTGTGAACTATTAAGAAACGTTATCCATTCACCATTTTTTTCATTTTTAATCGACACCTATATCATAAAAATAAAAATAAAAAAAAAACACGTAAAAAAAATTAAAATAATTATATTATTTTTTATTAAGAAAGAAATTTTAGATGAATCATTTTCTCTCTAGCTTCACGTACAATACTATAATAAAAATAATTTTTAATAATAATAAATATATAAATTGATAAAAAATAATAAAATTATTATCGACATTAATTAATTGTTATTAAATCTAATATCGCTATAGACTATAAAAATTGCTAATTATCTCTTAAAAATATATTTAACGATACTTAAAGTCAATATTATTATATATCACAGGATCATATAGTAGGATAGATTTCCACCCTTTTTACTCTAGAAGGAGCATTTTTTATTTTAATTTAATTACTATGCGATGTAAAATTAAATTAATTTAATAAGTGAATTTCAATTATCTATTAGTCGAAATGAAAAAATAAAAATAAATTATAAGCACAAATCATGAACTCCACATGATAAATATGTATTTAAAATTAATAAAATTTTCAAAAATAAGAACAATAGATATAATTATGATAATTAAATTTCTTTGAGATAATTCGATGCATTAAGTTATCGTTAAGTCTAAATTCTAGTCTATGAAAATCTGTTATACAGTGTCTTATAATTAAATTTCTCTAATAATATTAATTAATAAACAGAGCAGCCTAAACGTGTTTTTCTCTAATAATATTAATTAATTAGCGCGCACACTCTTCATTTCTAATCAACACCATTTAATTTCATAGTCCATTAACGTATTAATATTATTCTTAAATTTTCAAAGAAAATTTAAAACACATCATATTTAAGTTATATAATTTTTAGTTCAAAAAAATTCTTACACCATCCCATCATATTTGTTTATCATAGTATATCTTCATGTTATTTTCAAAATTACAAATTTTATTATTTAAATATGAATATAAATAAATTTTTACACTAACTCACCATATAGATAAAGAGTATGAGTAGTGTGGGGTTTATGTTACTAGTATACTCTTTTTTTTTTTTTCATCTATATAAAGAAAAAAAAGAACAACAATTTTTTTGTCAACTCTTCTTTAATTATTTATATATCATCAAATTATTACTCCCAAACTAACCCTAATTACAAGACAAACCTAGTTATTAGCCAGAAGAAGAAGTTGAAGAAACTATATTATATAATATAGTTTTAATTTGGATATTGATAATAATGATGATGGATGATCAAAGGGTTGGTGATCTTCCTCCAGGATTTAGTTTTGATCCAACTGATGAAGAGCTTGTTTTATATTATCTCAAAAGTAAAATAGCTTCAAATTTACCCTTCAATATTCCTCATTTACATTTTTCTTCTTCTGATCCTTCCCAACTCAATGGTAAGTATTTTTCGACTAGTCTGATTAAGTTATTGTCTTGTGATCAGGAATCGTAAAATCGTACTGTATAAATAGTATCTTGCAGAAATATAGAGTAAGACTTGGATTATATAAATGTTTATTCTCGTGAGAAATTCGAATCTACTGTTGAAATTTGAATTTTGTTATTTTGTCAATTCCAACAACGTCAACAAAGTGAGAGACTTAAATTTCTTAAGGACAGTAGTTAATTATTTTTTATCGGACCGTATATTATGCGAAGCTTTCTAACACTATTTTCATATGTTTGGTTGATTAATAGAAAGGGCTTTGTGGAGCAAAAATCAATGGTATTTTTTCAGCCAAGTGAAGGAAAATAATAATCGAGCTACAGGAAGAGGATATTGGAAGGAATTAAATATGAATGAGCCAATTATATTAAAAAATTGTGGTGAAAAAGAAAAAATAATAGGAATAAAGAAGAAATTTGTGTACTGTATTACTAGTAATATTCATGAACAGGTACAAACCAATTGGATTATGGAAGAATTTCACCTCACAAGAGAAAATGAGAAGCTATTGGTAAGTAAATATTAGATTAATTCATTCTTACATATATATATATATATATATATATATATATATATATATATATATATATATATCAATTCTGAATATACAAAAATTAATTATAATATATTATAAAGAGTGTATTTTCTTTATTTATGAGTTTTTGCAAATTTAAAATTTAATTGAATCAATAAATCTTCAATATGAGACGATAAAAGAAGTAACTCTAAATATCGCGAAAAAACAATCAATTTCAGATTCGGTGAATTTTAAATTTGGTCATATTAAATGGAAACAAAAAATATTAGCAAAAAAATTGTTCACATGGGCATCTGAATTTCTTTGTGAGTTGTGACTATAATTTATAAAATAATTAATTGGATATACATAAAATCATTCAACGATCTAATTATCAATTCGTTTTCGAGATTAGCTAAATTTAATTACTATATTTTTTGTAATTAATTAATCTAAGTGTCCTGTCATGTACACGAGTATCAAAATCAAAATGTCTATTGATTCTACTTGTATTTTTAAATTTGATAATATAAAAACATTATTTGGTTATTTAGTAAAAATAGTACTTACCTGCCCTAACCTCTAAATGATTGATATCGTGAATGGAGCTCTTTCTATCTTAACTAATAGATCTTTTATTTGAGTTTTGATCGTAAGCGACGAACAAAAAATCAAAAACATTAATTAAAAAAAAACTTACTTGCTTATTTATAGCAAAAAGTTATATTACATTGATTTGATACTATAATAGAAAATTATATAATGTTTTTCCATCTCTTAATAAAATCTTATGAAATTATAGCAAATCAAAATTTTGTTTAATTTTTTTAAAAAAATGAAATTTGTATTTTTTTGACCATTGACTACATTTGAGCAAAAGTGGAGGGGCATAACGCATAAAACAAGTAATTGCCACGATCTACTTCTTAACCATGTGGAAATTAATGATTATAGTAAAATAATATTTCCATTAAAGAGTTTAATTTCATTTTGCTCCCTAAACAAAGGAATTATGATTTCTTTATCCCTCTTATAATATTTATATTGATACTTAACTCCTTTTAAGATTATATTTTAACATAAACATGATCCAATCATAATTTGTTTCAATGTGAAGACTATCCTTCAACTAATAAGTAATATAAATATTTAATTACTTCGCAGTTAGGACGTTTTTGTCCAATCGCCACACAAATATATTTGACCCTCAGGAGTTCAGTTGTTCTTTTATTTAATACGCATGGTAAAAATATCAATAATGATCTCAATTATAAATTTTCATCGATTAAAGCTAGGGGAAAAAAATACTATAGGTACATCATAGAAAAGAGAAGTGAATGTTTTCTTTCTTGCCATTTTTGGTTTGTAAATTGTTAATCAACTTGTTCGTACTCGAATATTTCTTAGACACATACGTTAGGTAACAACTAATTGATGTTTGGTTAAAAGTTGGAATTAGAAAGAAAGAAAGAAATAGACATCATTTTTAATATTATATGGAACGGATGGAGTATCTATTTACTCATGATAAACAAAGGTGAAGGAAGCTACACGATTATGCTGAATCGAACTCGTATATAAATTTCTAGCTCTACTCCTGACCTCACGATTAAATATGATGATAAGAATTAGTTGAGGAGGGAAAGTGTAATTTGTTTCAAACTTGTAAGGTGTAAAAGTGAAATGAGATGAATAATAATTTTGTCATATTATGGAAGATCATATCCTATTTTTTAGCAAAATATATATGAATCCCCCAACAACAGGAGCTCTTTGTTTTTCATACGCTAAAACCACTCTATTGACATTTTCATCTCTTCCAAAACTCCATTTTTAATCACACATACAAAAAAAAAAAAAAAGGGAAGTGGCATAATGGCTTTATTGTTGTCAAAATCAAGAAAATTGATCTGTTTGAAACCCAAGATTGGATTTTTATCATCTGTTTATCATAATCATACTCTTATATCACCAAATCTGAGAACCCCATTTCGAATTCTTGGTTTAAATCAATCTCATTTTGCATATTTCCGTTTTGGATCAACCAAAGCTCAAACACAGTTAAATCCCATGCACAGCATTCATAATGATTCCCAGGTTTGGGTTTTATTCTGTTTTTTAATAATGTTTATATCTTACTTGCTTAAATTTTCTTCTTTTTTTTACAGCTTTGATTGATAATGTTTGGACTATTCTCTGTTCTAAAAGCTTGGTTATTTACTTAGTTGTTATTGTCTTCAACATGCCCTTCATGTGCACACTTTTTGATAATAAGTGATGGTTTAGAATCGCAATCGCGAACTTTATCTGCTCTTATACCATGTTAAATTGTATAGTAGCGTAGCCACGTAGAATAAAAGATGGCCAATTGTGTGACCATGTTAGAGAAAATATCTAACTGAAAACTGTTGCTGCTAGAGGTTCAGTTTAACACTCAAATCTTTTGTTTCTACTAATAGTAGCAGTATAAGGTTTGTTATGACTTATGGTGCTAGCTGTGTTGGTTTATGTTGGAAAAAACTGACTGTTTTGGAATATTTTTTCATCTGAGAAGAGTATTTTGGATAACTGTTGCAGCTAACCTCAAGAAAATGGAAAAAGAGGTGTTTGAGAACATGTCTGTCTGAATGATAGAAGTATACAGTATCCACTTTCACAAACGTATTAGAAGTGTGTCCCTTCATATTTAGCTCTTTTTTAAAAAAAAACACATGGTGATTGGGCCAGTTTGTACTCACTTCGGCTAATTTTACGAGTTACCTACTACCTCCACAAGTGCAAGTCTTGGATAACTCTGTCCATCGAGGCTTGAACAGATGGGAAGAAATCACCTAATGTTTTTACCTACGATAGTATTTGAACCTAAGACCTTGTGGTTCTGGGGCAACTAAATCTCACATGTATGAGTCCTCTATAGGTGTTAACAAGTATAATTGCAGGGAGAAAAAAAGGATCTTTACCAGTTATTTTTACTTTTGAGTATGCATTATCATAAACTTTCCTCTTGGATGTTAGGTCCTCGATTTCCCTGGAGGCGAGGTCAAATTCACCTCACATTTGAACTTTATTCCTGAAACAAGGGAGGAGAGAGTACACTGTTACCGGGTCCTTGATGATGATGGTTACCCAATCACTAACGATTTTGCACAGGTAATCCAAATGTACATTTTGTTGTTGATGCTTGTATCAGGGTAGGTTGTCTACATCGCTGCCTCTTGGGTGCGTCCCTTCCTAGAATCCATATTAAACGTGCACGGGGCTACCCTTTAATCTAATAGACATTTATGTAGCTTAAACTTTGCATCAAAATTCAATGAATTTTTATTGGGTATTCATCTTGGTCAGATTGAAAAGGAAGTTGCGTTGAAAATATATACTGATATGGTCACACTTCAAACAATGGATACAATCTTTTATGAAGCACAAAGACAAGGACGGATATCTTTCTATCTTACCACAGTTGGAGAAGAAGCTATCAACATTGCATCAGCTGCTGCACTTAAGACCGACGATTTCATCTTTCCACAGGTTAGTCGTGCACATAAACTCCCTTCTAATCTGCAAAAGTCACATTTTCTTCAACTAAAGATGCAAAAAAATGGATAGGAAATATATGAAGAGATGTACTTCAATACACCTTCCTAACGAAATAATACGTTTCAGTGAAAACAGAAAGAAGCGTGAGTATTGGTGTTTGGCCTTTAGGTGTTACCCAAAGTTGATTAAAACAGGAGCTGTTGAATTATCTTAAGGAAATGTGTTGATTATTTCAGTTCCATCAAGTGAGTAGGGAAGTATTTTGAATCGTTTCTACAAATTACACTTGTCAAGAAGCGGCTGCATCTCTGCCAACATTCTATGATAGGGCTGGATACACTGCACTCTCCATTTTCAGTTCAAGAGGGAGGGGACATATCAATTTTATCTGATATGCACCATATCCATTAGGTTTCTTTGAAATGATTTGAATCTAGTGTTGGGTGCCCTTGTATTAATATTCTAGCTTTCTTCTTCTAGTATAAATCCTCAAACTTACTTTCTACAACATAAGTGGAAGTTTATGAGGCAAATTCTAGAAAGATTGGATAGATGTAACTTTATCCTTAGATCAGCTCTCCACCATAGGCATACTTGGTTAAGATTTTTAGTTTCAGTCTAACGGCGATAAGCAAATGCTGAGATTCACTTGTCCAACGATTTCCCTGTAATGTCAACATTTTCTTTTTGTCGTTACAGTATAGGGAGTCCGGAGTTCTATTATGGAGAGGGTTTACCATTCAAGAATTTGCCAATCAGTTGTTTGGAAACAAAAACGATTATGGAAAAGGCAGGCAGATGCCTATCCATTACGGATCTAATAAGCACAATTATATTACTGTTGCATCAACAGTAGCGTAAGATACTCATGCTTTTGTACTGATACTTCTATTTTGATTATTTCAAACATCTTTCCGATGTAATCTTTGATGTAAATAATTGATGAACCGAAGTGGTTATTTTGCTTCAGTACTCAGCTTCCACATGCTGTTGGTGCTGCCTATGCTCTAAAGATGGACGCGAAAAATGCATGTACAATTGTATATTTTGGAGATGGAGGATCTAGTACGGTATGTGAAGATAGTGAACTTTTTAACAAATTCTTCCAACTAGGTTCCTCAAACCTCAATCATACTCAGATTTTCACAGATAGTGTGTTGTGATTTTGTTACTGTTCTTCCCGTTAAATTCATTGATTTCATTTCAGGGAGATTTTCATGCTGCTCTGAACTTTGCCGCGGTGTTAGATGCACCCGTTATCTTTTTCTGCCGGAACAATGGGTTTGCCATAAGCACACCTGTTAGTGACCAGTTTAGAAGTAGGTGCCTCTTTTAGCTGCTCAATTATTTGCTGCTACTGTTATGTAGTTGGCTACTGATGAAAACTGTCTTCTATTTATGGTTACTTAGGTGACGGTGTTGTTACCAAAGGACAGGGCTATGGAATTCGTAGTATTCGTGTGGATGGTAATGATGCTCTTGCTGTTTTCACTGCTGTCCATGAGGCACGAAAAATGGCTGTTAATGAATGTAAACCTATTCTAGTTGAGGTAATTTGTACACTTGTTTGGAATTGAGGCTTAGTAGACAGCGAGAATCAGCTGTCCTTTTTTTATTTTGTTATAGCTAGTTTTGGAAGTTCTGTTAAGTGTTTCTTTTATGTTCAACAGGCTCTTACTTATAGAGCAGGACATCATTCGACCTCAGATGACTCAACCAAATATCGTCCAGCTAAAGAAATCGAATGGTGGAGAAGAGAAAGAGACCCTGTAAGCAGATTTAAGAAATGGATTGAAAGAGAAGGCTGGTTGAACCCTCAGGTTGAATCCGACCTTCGCAGTAATATCAGAAAGCAGGTAAAGTCTGCGCATTGTTGCATACATTTTCTAGAGCAGAAATCTAACAAAGTATTTCTAGATTAGATAAGTTACAGTAAGACTGAGACAGACTTAAATGGAGCAGCATGGACTGTTGGTTTTCTGAAGTCTGTTTTCAATGTTGTGATACACAGGTACTGCAAGCCATTCAAGTTGCAGAAAAACAAGAGAAGCCCCCAATTAAGGATGTATTTACAGATGTATATGATGTTTCTCCAGCCAACCTCCAAGAACAAGAAGTATCTATTCGTGAAACAGTTCGAAAACACCCACAGGATTATCCTACTGATGTTCCTGTCTAGTTGAAACTGCTTAAAGAGTTTTAATGTAATTAGCAAAGTTGTTGCATATCTCTCAAGAGGGACCATTCTTATTAAGAAAAATGATTCCACAAGGAAATAATTAATTGATTATCAATGTCTTCGATATGTACTTTCGTTTTTTATGATCTTCCAGTATCAGCCAGCAATGCCATTAGGACAAGATCCTGATATACTAGAATGACAAAACTGTAATCACCATAAAAAAAAACATAACAAGAGAAATATATAATGTTTAATCAAAGTTGAGTTGACATAACCAGAGAACAACAAAATGTTTATCAAAGCTGAGTTGAGATGACAATCAAAGAGCTAAAAAGTGATATCAGAAATGTGTAGAAGGAGAAGAACAGGTGAAAATGAGCAGCTGCAAGTACCATTCTGGGAACTACAATAAGATAGCTGCAGCGTATTGTTATTGGTTTGATCATCACAAGGATGAAGCTTTCTCATTCAAAGATTCTTTAACAGCCTTGAGGAGAGCAGGCATCAGCTTTTGATTGGTAACGATTATGCCTTCGTGTAAATCAAGGTATCTTCCCTTGGAGAAGTCCAAAGGGTTTCCTGCAGCATCTGAGACAACACCTCCAGCTTCTGAAAATTACATGACAAATTTCTTTATGATTAACAAAAAAATCCTAGCTTAACCATTAAATAAGTGGCTAAGAATGATTGAAATACAATGTATAGCAGAAAAACTTAAACCACCGAAAATTTTTATCAGATATTTGGATTCAAACTTGTCTCCAACCAACAAATCTCATGCGCTTAGCTTATATAGAGCAGCTAAATTTTTACAAGTTGTTCTAGTTTAGCAAATTCAAAGAAACTCAATTAGATGATTGCTCAAAAAGATGAATGTTGTCAAGTGAGCAAAATGCTTAAAATGACTTTGAGCATCTATCTATTATTTTTTTGTACAGCATTTCCAAGGGGTGTGATAGATAGATATGGAAGATATCTCTGTGTCATTAACTTTAAATGAAATATCTCATATAGCTGATACGGGCTTTTATGCCCAGATACAAAAAAAACATAGCTTTCCAGTGCTCAATGGCATGAACTTGCACATTATTGAGAGTTAAGCTTGAATTAGGAGAAAAACTTTTTGAGGGTTGATAACTATCTTAATGAAGTTCGAGAGGAAGCTGGATAAAAGGGAGTCCTCAAGTGACGGGGTATTCGTAGGCAAGGCCAAGAGAAAGCACGGAAACTGATAAAAAGAGCAGGAGAAAGTGGTAGAGTACCATAAAGTGGGCAAGAGGATTCCAACTACACAATGAGATCTACCACTAAAAGGGTGACATGATCAATCATGTGAACAATGAGTTGGAACTTTGAGAAGGAGACCCTTAACCTTATCTCTCAAGCAAGGGGCAGAAAGTTGTTTTTTATGCTTGACACCCTTGTAATGTTGTTCAGGACCTCCAGTGAATTGTATAAAATTGCTGTTTGAATAATGTGTTTTTCTAGATCTGCCATCTCTTGGAGTTCAAGGTTCTCTCTTCTTTAGTTGAGGGTATTAATATTATAACTTCTTGTTATCATAAATTACCAACAGTTGCAAATCAAATTTCATATGCTCAGTTCTTCGTTGAACGAATAGATTCTCTGAGCATGAATACTGATGAGAAATAATGATCCGAGTGAAGCAGAAGTGAATTATTAATTTAGAAAGCAGATATCATATGAACCTGCAACAACGAGATATCCAGCAGCATGATCCCATATCTTCTCGCGGTAGCCTTTATGAGGAAACCGCAGATATATTGCTCCATCTCCACGGGACAAAGCACCATACTTTGCCTGGCTGTCTATTCGAACTGGGGGGGCTTTTACACCAAGTTTCTGTTTATAGAAGAAGAATAGAGACCTCATTCGCATATGCATTAAGATGGAATGGGAGAAGTTACGCACATTAAGAGAAAACAAAAAAAACAAAAAAGAAACGTTAAAAGAGAACTCATACCTTTGCTATCAAACTAGATAGGTCATGCAAAGAATGTGCTGCTTCAAAAGATTCAAAAAAAGATGCCTCTTCAGGGTTGTCTAAATCAGTTACATGCACCTGAAGGCAGTAGAGCAACCTATCAGCTGATTAGAGATGCAAATATTGAAGTTGTTAGAGAAAATTACAAAATATTCAGAACATGAACCTTTATTGGTGTAGAGCCATCAAGAGACTGCATATAAGTTCCAGAACCAACTTGGGCATAAAAAAGGCAACCAACTTTGTCTTGATCATCCTGTAGATTGTGGGAGGCAAGAGAAGATAATGGAAGATTTGGACAGGCTAAGACGCCCAAAACCACCTTCCCTTCATCTAGCAATCCCAATGCAATTGCATATTGGTCTCCCCTTAGAAACCTGGAGAAAGATTAAGACCTTTTGAGAGACTCATAAATATGTTTGGTAAGCACTTCCCTGAAATTAAAGAAGCAAAAGTTATGACGTAGATGAAGTAAAGAATTAAACATGTGAGATAGAGAGTTCTATATCAACCAAAAGGTGGCACATCCCGGTAATTAATTGAGTTTGACAATAAGCAGTAACGGCATAAATTCCCTGGTTAGTGTAAGCATAGCTCGGCAATATCAAATGTACAAGCAACAAAAATCATGGTAGGGTGAGGTGAGAAGAGAGCTACCACATAAATTCACATTTTGGCTTATGGTGTCAGCCTGTTTTAAGATAAATTTAAGCATTCATATCTCGCAAAAACTGACATGAAAATCTTATTTCCACTCACCCTTTAGTACCATCAATAGGATCCAACACCCAGTGCTGACCAGAAGGACCCCCTTCAGATCTACCACTATCAATGGCAGCAAGGACATCTTCTTCAGATAATGGGGCAGTACCATATGTTCCATCACTAGCAAGTGTTTCATTGACAAGCTTCATGATACGCTGTAATGTTGATTTTCCCTCTTCATTACGAAGGTCTCCAGAGTCCTAGAGAAATTAGATTTAGACCTTTAGTTTGATGCAAGAACATACATTTTCCACTGAAATGGAGAAATGAATATGCAGAGATAAATAACAAACTGTAAAGCAGAAATGATTTAAGAGAGCAGGAAACACCACGTAAAACAGAGGCAGGCTGGTAATGACATCGACAAGAATTTCCTAAGATATCAAGCCCAGTAAACTTTGTTTTGCTATGAGCAGTCTGGGGTTTTCCTTTTAAGAAATCATCAGCTATTAGAACTTAATAGTACAGAAGCTCATCAAATCAAACTTATTAGTTGGTTATGTTTCAAGGGAAATGGAGGAGAGAATAAGTTAAAAGACAAGAGCCTTTCAATTGCTTTAATTTCACGAAAATGTCAAAAGATAATACTTTGAGGTCAGTGACCATCTTTGCACTATCACATTGATTCACTTGTATTGTGCCCCAGGAAGAATATTCAGAACTCCATACATCAACTCATCACTTAGGTTTGAGGCTGTTATGGCCAGAATAAATTGGACTAGTAGACTCCTGAGGTGCTATGTGTGATTTCTGACCATGAAGATGCTATGAAGAATTCCAAGAAAAGGCAGCTAGAATATGTCCCTTTACTAGCTGAAAGAATTATTAACATTTTTTTGTTATTTTCTGCCTTCTTTTCCTTCAAAATGATACCTTGCCTATGCACAAATGTTCTTTCCTAGGTTTCATTTGAATGTGATCTTAATGAATAAACAATGAAGGTAGGCACAACATGGACTAAACAGCTAATAGTTCAAACATTACCTCCTCAGCCACTAATGAAAATGAAGCAGAACACAACTCTTTCTGCAAAACAACGCTAACCACGGCCTGTGAGCCTGATAATCAAATGTGAGACATTTTCAAAAGGAGAGAATAAATTGCAAGGCTCCATCAACATGATAACAAACATAAAATGTATATTTGTTTCAGAACATCAGTTTCTTTAATGCAGAAATGAGAAGCATCTTGCTCCATGAGAGAGACAGAAAGAGGTGGAACATATATAGAGCGAATGGAACGAAATGTCTAAGGAAATAGACTGGTCCCTACACAAGACATCTTTGTTCTCTCTTTTGAAATCTATACATTAGCATGGAAGCATGTTATATTAATATACCATAATCAGCCACCGTCACTGGAGATTTGTCAGACTTTGATTGAACATCTGCTTGCAACAGTGCTTTTTGGACTTTCTGCAGAAAACACAGGATATGTTAGCTGAACTACATAAAGAAATTGCCAAGTGAATATGCCAAAATAAACCAATCCGGTTTAAACATAATATCAAATGAAATAGACATCTTGTTCTAGTGCAAGAGGAACGCCACAAACAAGTCCTCCTCCCACCACAAAGAAATTACAAAAAGCATGAAAGCATTTTGGAGGCATTGAATGCTAGTAAATTGTATAGTTAGAAAGGTTTCATGATAGGTAATGGTCTGGTAGTAGTTCGAAGACTTAAAGGGCTATAAGGTGAATAGCTAAGGCTGTTTCCTTTATGCAGAGTTGGTGAGAAGAAGAGGAAATGTGACATAAAAACACAATAAACCATTCTAGATCCATCTGCGGCATACATCTAGTAAAAATCTTTATTACTCAACTCTAATGAGTTAGAAAAATTCCCACTGGTGCCTATTCCCTTACTTAAAACTTATACAAACCAACCAGAAAAATGAGTCATTCAAATTTCGAACCTTTCATTAGAACGAATCCACCCTTTTCTAGCGTATTGGCATCTCAGATACGAAATCTCCTTGCTGTAAAAGATATTCAAGAAAAACAGAACGAAAAATATACAGCAAATCTAATGTAAACAACTCCAAGTTCACTAAGTTAATTTCCAAATAGCCCCGTCGACCTCAACATAGATCAAGTTTAGTGCTTTCCCATGCAAGCACTTCTATCGGACATTACAAAATTCAAAGGGTTGCTTCTTTAATGTCTTATTTTAGTCTGACTTTTACCAGGAAAATCCCAAAATCTAATGCTTGGGAAACAGAATCTTGCAGACACGAAAAAGAAACAGAACATCTAATATCAAAGACTCAAAATCACTGACTTAATTTCTAAATAGCTCCATCGATCACAAAATAGATCAAGTTTAGTGCTTTCCCATTGCAAGAACTTCTGTCAAACATTTTATTAATTTCAAAAAACTGCTTGTTTAGTTTCCTATTATAGTCATATGGAGTATATCCCCAATCAACCATTAGATACAATTGGACTTATAAATGACAAACCCCAAAATCTAATGTACTAGAAAGACCCACTCCCTCCCTCCCCACCTCTTCCCAATCCTAAAACAAAAAGAAAGAAGCTTTCACTTTCTTGAAGATAAACTAAAGGCTGATTACCACTTCCACCATGTTTTCCAGCCGATATATTCATCATCAGAACTCTCAATCTCTTATGTATGCAACTATTGACCAAAGATACCAAATAATATATGATGACACAACTATCCCACATATATTTTGAGCTCCCAAATTGTCTATAATTTCATGCTTCACTAGTTTGTTCAATATAGAAAGAAGCCAAAGGGGGCTTAACATCAACTATGCACACATAAAAAAAACTCATAACCACGTATAAACAGGGTAATTTTCAGCCAAAGGAGATACAGATAGACCCCTCGGCCTGCCCCGCAGAGTAATAAAATCAAGAAGAACTCACCTATTTTATAGAAAAAGGGCATACTCATCAGAAAGATTGGATCTTTCTCCATTCCACAATCACAATTTTCACAAATTAAAACACAAACATGAAAAACAAGCTAAAATAATGAGCAAAGATTTACTTGACAAAGGCGAGCAGCAAGAGAAGCAGCATTCTTGGCAGCATCAAGTTCTTTATCATACGACATTGTAACAGCTCTTAAGGTTGATTTAGATGCTCTTAGAGTGAGCAAAAGTGAAAAGGGGAAGTGGGGTTTTGTATTTTTTGTCAACAATGGCAGAGTTTTTTGTGTCAACGAATTTATACTCCTAGATGATAATCCCGTGAAAGTAGCCATTTCCATTCTTGAAGTTGGTGGCAAAATTGGCCAATGTGCAAATTTTATTGAAATAAAATATACAAAACTCCACCTATTTTTTCTTTTATAAAATGAAAAAAAAAATTAGCACAAAGATTCTTAACCTCAAAATTATTGAATTCGATCTTTAAAATAAAAGTGAAGAAATAGATTCAACAATCACTTTTTATTACTTGAGTAGATCATCTTTAAAAGCAATCTTCTTCGCGAGATAGAAATAAAATGTCTATACATTTTATCATTTACATACTCAACTTGTGGTCTTTTATTGGACCTATACTAAATATATTATTGTTATAGTCAAATTATTTTAACTTCAATCGTATATTATCTCAAAATATTAAATAAAAAAAAAAAGAGGAGCATGAATGGGCTTGCTATGTTTTAGAATGGGTTTGGGCTTGTAACTTTGTAACAACAAGGCCTTAATAGTTGCATCCATAATGGGCCTAAATAACTATATGAGTAAATCAAATAAATTGATATATAAATTTCAAACAAAAAATATTGTATTATTATTATTTCTACAAATATTTAAAAGCATTTTTGGTTGTACATATTAGGGAGAGAATCTAAATATCTAATTCCTTGACTATTTTTGTTTGCATCAGTAGAATTAAATAATTTTAAATCCAAATAAGTCATACTTATGGGACTTAACTAGACACTATATTTCATAAAACAACACTTTTACTCGTAAAACAAGGAGTTATTCCTGCTTTTATGTCCCACATAAATATTAAAGAATAATATTTATTAATTTCTAAGTTGAAGCCTAACATTAGGCTGATCAAATTCTTAAATTATACAAAAATATATTATTTCTTCTCCCATAATTAATCTCATAGATCTTAGGGCTAAATATAAATTGTTTTTTTTTCCACTACAATTCCCTAGGCATCATTTTAATCATATTATTCTATCCGAAGTTTTTAAAAAATTAATATTTCGAAGTATTTAAATAAAATTAGATTAACTTTACTTAATCTAATTTTATAAGTTAAATTTTAAACTTTTTAAGTGGCAGACAAAGTTGCACTCAAAACACACAAAATTTCTCTAACTGTTAAATATAATACCATTCTTTTCTTGGTTCTTTTATATATATTATTCGACTTTTTATCATTTATTATCTATGGTAAGTATTCTTATTTTCTTTTTCTTTATGTGTTGTTCATTGATGATATATGTATATAGATAATATAGTTTAGACTTGTTAGATAACTTCTAATGATAACTTTATTTATACGATAATAGATATGAAGCGATCTGAAGTGAAAACTGAAGATTCATATAATTAATTTTATTTATTTAAAATTGAACTACTATTATTATTATATAAACATGTAAGAACTTAGAATACAAATCTTTATTAGAAGTCCAATTCTTGTGATTAGGAGTTCATGTAGTTTAACTAAAAAAACCAAGAGATTGATAGATGAGATCATAGGATATGCACATGTTTTATATTTGACTAATTAATAGAATCATGTACTCCACTCACTTTATATTATGCCAAAAATAAAATTAAAGGGGACAATATTAGCTGGAGTTGTTACATTTTGACTAAAGGAAAAAACAATATGCCTTGTTTGGCCAGTCAAAAATATACTGAAATAAGCTAGTTATTTATCATAAACATAATATTACTTCTTTTTTATTCCTAAGTATTAACTTAATTATGGATACATTCAATTTTAATTTTGATACATGAATGTCAAAGTTAACATCTTATACGTTTTTGCATTCAGCTTTCTTAGTTCTTCTATACCCAACTAGTAAGAAGAGAACTACATACAGATCATCACCTACAAATACTCTTTTTGCCCAAAATATTCTAGAACATCAACGTAACTTTAAATTCATGTAGTCAGTCGATAACTTTACATATCACACATTAGTTCAGTAATCGAAAAAAAAAGAGAAAGATATATAATACTTTTAATGGTACGAGATTTTTAGGAGAAAAAAATATTTTTTTTTCTAATGAATTCATACGGTGCATAAGTTTTAGATACTGAATGATTATTATAATGATCCATGAGTACGCAGACAAAGAGATGCCTTTTGTTTATATATATATATATAAAAAAAATTAATACTTTTTTGTTTTGTGGGTAAAGGAGGTGTCACATCTTTCATATTCAAACAAGTATAATTTGAGGGGATTCAAAGTTCAAAGACATGAACTTTTTGATTGAGTGAGTGGGTCAGTTTGACTGTAGTGTTGATCTATTTTTATCAAAAAGAAAACAAAAACAAATGGTCCTACTCACTCTCTATTACTATAAAAATTATTCTATACTATTAGTTGCAATCTACCAATCTTTCTTTGCTTTATTTTATTTTTTATACTTACATAGATAAGGGCTACTCTTTTCTTTTCTTTTTTGGCCAACGCTTGTGTTTTGTGTCCCTTTGTTCTCTTTATCATATTTCCCACTCACTTTTGGCTTATTACTCCTCATTTCATGTGCTTTGTTCCACTTCAAACTCACAATCTTTTGGCCTACTCCTCCACTATTAATTTTTTTCAACTTTCTTCAATCTACAAATAGCTAGACTACACATATACTACTAGTTTATAAAGATTCATCTTCTAATCTCACATGTTCAAGAAAAGGTTTCATCTTTCTTTGCTAATTAGCTTATCCTTTCAACTAGTGAAAACTCAATGTTCCAACTCTTTTGTCATTCCTACACACACCCTTTGAATCTACTGATAGACTACACATGTCACATATTATACTAGTTTATATATGAAGATTGGTCTTTTATAATCTCACATGTTCAAGAAAAGTTCTCATCTTTCTTTGCTTAGCTTATCCTTTCATGTTCAACTATAGTGAAAATTCAATGCTCCAACTCTCTTGTCATCTTTACACACACCCTTTGAATCTACAAATAGACTACACATATCACATATTGTACTAGACTACTAGTTTATGAAGATTTGGTCTTATAATCTCACATGTTCAAGAGAAGTTTTGATCTTTCTTTGCTTAACTTATCCTTTCAACTAGTGAAAACTCAATGTTCCAGCATTTTTGTCATTTCTACACACACCCTTTGAGTCTGCAAATAGACTAGACCTATCACATGTAACCTCACTTGTTCAAGAAAAGTTCTGATCTTTCTTGGTTTGTCCTTTCAACTAGTGAAAACTCAATGTTTCAACTTTCTTGTCATGTATACAGACACCCTTTGGAGATAAACTAAAATCCCACTTCAAAGATTTCATTTTTACTTGAATCCTATTCTAATGAAGGAGCCTGAAGTTGGAATTCCCATCTTGTTTAGGTGTCCAATAAGTTTAGATTTGTTTAAAGATCCAGTTACTTTATGCACAGGCCAAACATATGACAGATCCAGTATTGAGAAATGGTTATCTTGTGGGAATTTAACTTGTCCTGTTACAATGCAAAAGCTTCATGACTCTACTATTGTACCAAACACCACTCTTCGCCATTTGATCGATCGATGGCTTCAAATAAACTCTAGTCATGGTTATGATCTTGATTACTTTCAAACAGTTGATGATTCATTTGTTGTTCTTAAACACAATCTTCAGTCAAAGGAGTCTACATTGGAATCAAAAGTTGAAGCATTAGATAAAGTTCTTGCTTTATCGAAAGATCTGCCTTTCGAAAACTGTCCCCTGATTCAACTAGATTTCTTCCAAATGATTCTTGAATTAGCCTTGAACGATGCAGATGAAAGATCAAGTTTTGAAGAAAATGTCATGTTTGTGGAGAAAGCATTAGTTTGTGGATTGAAGTTGTTGCCATTTAGTGACTTGGGAACACTCAACATGCTTAAACAAGATGAATCAAAGTTTACAATTCTGTTCAAGAAAGGGAGTTTTATGATCAAGAAAAGCTTGTGTCATTACATAGTGGCAATTTCATCATCTTTGCAATTGAAGGAACTTTTAGTTATGTTTGGTAAATCCAAGATTCTTGTTCAAGAACTTGTTCATCTTATTGAGAACAAACTAGATGGTTATGAAGAATCAATCAAAGCACTTTCAGCATTATCTTCTGTTGAGCAGAATCGCGAAGTAATAGCAAAAGAAAATGCAGTTAAGGCATTGATAACATACATTGTGAATGCTCCAAAGTGTGAATATAGAAGCTTGTTTGGACTTGTTATGGCAATGAAAACAATTGAGGCATTGCTAGTTGTAGAAAGTGCAATAGAGGATGTTTTGGATCATCCAAATGGGGTTAGTGAAATTGTGAAGATGGTATTTAGAGTTTCATCAGATAATGAAGCAAGTGAAAGTGCAATGAATTGTTTAATCATTTTGTGTCAAGATTTCATCAATGCTAGGGAAGAAGCTATTTGTTCTGGAATTTTGACTAAGTTGTTGTTACTACTTCAAAGCCAATGTAGTGAAAGGACCAAAAATAAGGCTAGAATGTTGCTCAAATTGTTGAGATCTATGTGCAATGGGGATACAAAATGAGTCCTCTACATGAAATTTACAATTGATATGCTCTCTGTCCTTGTTATTACAATTTATCTAAAAATTTATACTTGGCTTCTTTTTTTTTTAAACAATGCCTTCGATTGAGGCTGGTCAGCTATATGAATTCTCATTGATCATGTTTTTGTAGTCTCAGAAAAAGATACATGCTTTATAACACGAACTGTGCACAAATGAATGAAAACATAAGTTCACAAGATGAATGAATGCATAAAATCGAAGATTAACTTATTTGAAAAAATAATCTTTTTTAGGAAGAAATACACAAGATTTTGAGGGACTTACTTTAAAATAGGTACGATTGAAAGACGAGCCAAACTTTTATTCTCACAACATAAATAGTTCACATATGTGTTGTAGGACAAAATTTCATTATGTTACATTGTACATAGAGTTAGACTTACTTTAATATACAAAATGATAATTATTTTAAAAATATAATTTAGAGCGAGAAAATCATTGTTTTAAATATATTTTATTATAATAGAGAGTATTGTGACTAAAATAAAATCTAAGTTCATTAAGTATATGTTTAATTTAACATTTTCAAGACTTTGAATGAAGTTGCTTCAAAAAAAATTTCTAATAATTAGCTTATTGATTACTACTTATCAATAAGCTCAATGTCAATCTAACAAAAATGAAAGGAGAACAAACTGCATTTTGCATAAAATATCTTTGAAAAATTCACACCATGTTGAATCCTTCTAGATAAAAATATTCTAAAATCTATTTTTGGGTCAAAATTTAATAGAATGTTCTATTAATTGATTATAATGTTGCTACTTTGATATTTCCACGGTCAAAATATTACAACAATGGATAAGTTTATGTAACAAACGTAAAATGAGTGCTAAGAAATTTGTTTTTCTATTTTAATTGTTATTAATAATAATAATTAGTATAAATAAATTAAAAGTGGGCCAATGCTTTGTTTATCAAAAAGAATATGTCACTATTCTTTGATCATCATGAAGAAAAAAAAAACAAATCCAACATCATAATGAAAGACAAAGAGTTGAATTCACAAAATGGTTGCTTAATTTTTACTTTATTGGATCGAAATTACTATGTATCTATAACACATTTTAAAACTCAATTATGCATTACATTAAAAAAAAAAAAGTTACTAACTTTTTTTTTTGTTATAAAAATAGTTTAATAACTTTTTCGTGAAATGAAATTGAAGTAAATGACTATTCATAAAATTAAAATCTATATGATTAAAGGAACGTCTTCTTAATAAGGACATATATGAAAATAAAAAAATTAAATTATGATTTAAATCTTTTAACAAAATATGCAATAGCTCGCAAACCACATAGAAGAGGTAATCAACATTAAGCAAACCCCTTTCGCAGGCGAAGAGTTTCAAACTTAAGACGTCCAACATAAAAGTCTCAAGCTCAAACCATTGGATAACCAGGTCTCTTGTTTTTTCATGTATCTTCTGTTTAATTAATTGAATAAATAATTTTTTTATATTATAATAAAATATATCATATATAAAAACTATTATTAATATATATTGTCATATTTGAAGTAATTAAAGAAGATTTAGTAGTACAACATACATAATTAAATTCAATTTTAAAATTTTAATAATTAATTAAAATTTGAATTTGTGTCACGTAAAATGAACGCATTCTTACTTGTTCCTTGTAACAATAGAGTTGTATCATTAGGGTTTTAATAGGGTTCAAACTCCTCCTTCGCTGTTGCTGAAACTTTCAGAAATGCGAGCGTTTCAACAAATCTTAACAAAATTCTCGCAAAAACCAGTTGGTAAATACTTCAATTTTGTGAAGCCATTTTCTACTGGAAATGATTGGAGTGCAAATTTCGGTGGTAATGGTTCTACGGAAGATTTGGGTTGGGATGAGGGTTCAAATTCATGGTCTACTGGGTTAACCAAGGAGCATTTTGATGGAGAAGTTGTGGGTCGACAAATGGGTTCGGAACCCAATGCACGATCTGCACCCTCGTTTGGTTCAGCTAGATGGACTGATGAAGAAATGGATTTAGTTAAGGAGCTTCATGCTGAGAATCGAAAAGGGAAAGCTTTTGTTGATGGATGGAATGAGAGGATGAAGGATATGAGCGTTTTGATGAAGCAGGTGACACAAATTAATCTTCTTAGTTAATAACTAATATACATTGCAGTGTAATGCCTCATGCTTAGGGTAGACAATTACACGATAATCAGCTCTTAGTTGGGTAAGTAGTGCAAACATCTATTAGGTTAAATATTTCTTCCTGTAATGCTTTTTGTATTTTAGGATTTAATTGTTTGTAGTTTTAGTTAGAAACTATAATGTTAGTATGAGTAATGTTTAGTGTACATGCTGATTAGTATTTAAAGATTGTGCTCCACTAGAATGATATTGAGAAATCCAGATACGGTACTGCGACTGACTATTTCTTTGTGCCTGCCCAAAATGTTGATCGGTGTACACCTACTGATTTGGATCTTGTGGGGAGTATTTGATAGGTGTTGGTGCCAATGCTAATCGGTTTAAAATCTAAGTTGTAGTTGTATTTTCTGTTACTTAATATTTTCTTGGTAGTTATATGGAAGCTTTTCCTTGCCTATGCTGGATAGGGAAGCGGTATGTTTAATAGTATTGACTATGTTATTCCTCTGAAAGAACTATACCAGCTATGCAATCATAGATGTGTGTGTGCGTGCATCAAAACTATATCACCTTGTCTTGTTCTGTATGTATTGTAGCTTATGTTAATAATTTCCCGACTTAACTCTATAGACTAAAACAAGAAGTTTAGGCTGCCATTGGAAGTCCATCTGCACCAAAGTGGAGGAAATTTTTTGTTTATTGATCTTTTATAACGGTAGTGTCCTAACTAGCACATGGCATTGCTTGCACCTCGACTAATGCACTGAGTACAGTGCTGGAAAGGTCATTTTATGCATCCAAGGGATTCTATATGAAAATTAATGCCACTTATTTGCAGTACATACTAATCTCTTCGACTCCTCAGAAGTTCAAATAATATGATCCTCAATATTTGAGTGTGTTCTCCCTTCCATTCCATTCTTAGCATAGATCCAATCTTCTTCCTGTTCCTGTCAATTACTATTTTGGAACTCTATTTGCTTCCAATTTTCCCTGATAAACTTTTTAACGGAAATTAATGTATGTTAAGAATTCTAATTTGGATGTTCATTTGATTTTAAGGTCTTCTGTACCTACTATAGATTAATTTTCGATGGAGTGTATATTTTGCAATCTTTCTAGTTTCAGCTTCAATGTAACATATATGTTCAACTTTATAAATCAACTAGTCACTCCAAAAGTGGCAGTCGAGTCATCCCTTTTATTCGGGTGAACCGTCTAACATAAATTACTTTTTGAGAAATAACATATGTTGTAATATTGCAAACCATACTTTCTTGCTGTAGTCTTTCGCAGTCTTAATGAATTTATTTTCACTAGCATATAAAATGGGGTTGGGGGAAAGTAACTTTTTCTTTTTGGTTATTCGGAAATGTTTCTGGCACAACAATAAGAACCTGATGAACAAATAAGGGTATGAAGTGGTAGTATCCTTCCCAACTATGTGGATTATCAAAGTTTGGTGTTATTGGAGCAGGTAATGGAGCCAGGTGCAAGGGGGTCTTATTTGAAGGATTCAGAGAAGACAGAAATGTACAAGAAGCATAAGGAGAATCCAGAGTTGTATACAGTTGAGCGCCTAGCAAAAGATTACAGAATCATGAGGCAGAGGGTTCATGCAATTCTATGGCTGAAGGAACTTGAGGAGGAGGAAGAGAAGAAGCTTGGGCATCCATTGGATGACTCGGTTGAGCTCTTGCTTGATACATGCCCAGAGTAAGTGAATTAGATTCTGAAGTCATTTCCTTTATAAACATCTGATGTTTATTCATAAGATATCTTGATAAAGTATATATCTTGATTAATTAAAGCTATTGAATCAAAACTAATAAAATTAAGTTTTTTATAAACATCTAATGTTTATTCATAAGATATCTTGTGTTATAAAAAATCATTTGCATACTTTATATAACTATATAGTATATATGTTTATGACATAAACCCAAAATTAAACCAAGTACCCTATCAAAGCACCTAGGGTAAGTTGACCAAGTCTCCAGTGTGGATCCCATACCCACCCATGTCCTGTCAACACAAGTGTCACATGAATTTTGCAGAGTCATATAAGCATAACTATTGAACCACGCTAGTCTTGACCGCAAAGGATAGATACCCCCCCCCTCCCCGCCCCCCAATGGATAGCTTTTTCTCACATTTATCAAGAATGTCTTGCCATATCACCTTTTGTTTTATCTTGCACCAAAAGGCAAACCCAAATAGACGATAGGAAAATTTTCAACACTACAACCTAATTCAGATTTTAGTATAGTCTTCACTGTTTAAAAACTGCATATTTAGAGCACTTTATCAAGCCTCCCCACTTATTTTATGTCATTGTTTCATGCCCAGCTAATATTACAAGAAAATTAGAAAAGACTTCAAAGAAACTTCTTGGGGAATCCCCTTAAACTAAGTGAAACTTCTTTGCCTCATTTGCTGCATCCCAAAGAAAATATCTTTGCATCCTTTCTAGCTTCCTATAACTATGGTGGTAGAGTTGAACAGGGACATGCATCATGTAGGGATGCTCGATGCAGTCCTCTTAATAAGCACTTCCTTGCCTCCTTTGGACAAGTATCTTTTCTTCCAAACTGCTAACCTCTTCTCTACCCTCTGATTAAACCGATATGTCTCCCTTGTAGACGACCAGTTTGTACATGCTTATGAATGAAAAAAATACATTTACTTGATAAAAAAAGAAGTTTGCAAGTATGTTCTAGTTTCAAATGAATAGTTCATAAACATGAAATCATTGAAAACATATTGTTGACTTACGATAGCATTAAGATGCATCACAATCATAAAACTAGTGTAACCCAAGAATAGTTTGCAAGTATGTTCTAG